TTTGCTCAAACCAGTCTTCTCTATCAACATATCTATTTTTCTTTTCTGGCACAATCTGAAACCACCCTTCTGGTTCCCTTTCTACCTCTATCCATAGGTAGCTCTTCAGATGTCCAAGTTCCTTGAGCTTGAACCTTTGTGCCAACTCACATTGCACCAGTCTGATCTCTTGATCTCTGGGTGCAACACATAAGTCATCAACATAAATGATCAGGATTATGCTGTCCTTTGTGTACACACATGCATCGGCCACACTGCGCCGATACCCCAGCCTCACTAGCTCTTCATGTATGCACAGATTCCATCATCTGGCACTTTGCTTGAGTCCATACAGGCCTTCCTCACCCTGTAGACCTTGTTGTTGCCTTCACACTCATGTCCAGGAGTTTGCTTCATAAACACAGTCTCCTCTAGGGTGGCATTGAGGTATGACAACTAACTTTCTTTTGGCAGCTGTAGCAAGCACCATCCTGAGACTCTCTGCCTTAGCTGTTGGTGAGAATGTCCTGTTATATTCTCAAACTGTTTCTGTGAGTCTCCTTTGGCTACTAAACTAACTTTGTACTGCATAGTCCAGTCACAGGCATGTCTTTCTTCCCATAGACACACCTGCAGCCAATCACTTTATTGTTATTACCCTCAGAAAGAATCCCCCAGGAAGAGGAGGGGTATGGGAAGTAACCTCTTCACAACAACACTGATCAAATGACTATAGAGATAAATTAGTGTTTCTGTGTAGAAGACACTGCCCCTTCTCAAAGAAAAACAGAACTACACACAAGCATTGATGCTAATACTTCAACACTTAGGATATGGCCAAAGTATGACATCTTCAATTTAATTTTTTTGTTTTGTTTTGTTTTGTTTTTTAGACATTCCCAAGAGAGTACAGGCTTTATTTGCTCTCAGACCCATTTATGAGTGTTGTTGTTGTTTTGTCCTTAGTATCTGTAGAACTCTTCTTCAACACCACAGTTCAGATGAGGTGATTCTTTTCCTGTCAACTTTCATCACTGTCCAGCTTCCACAACCACACATAGAAATCAGAAATATGATGGCATGGATGATGATGAAAAAGGGCATTCATGGCTCCAGTAGCCTCTGACTTGCCTTTTTAATGTACTTTTGTACACTTTGGCATATTTTAGGCCATAAAATGCCATTTTTTAAAATAGTAATTAAAAACTGATAACCCAGTTATTAAAAATCCCTTTTCCATACTAAAGCAGGTTATATCTACCTGAATCATATAAATTACACACACACAAAAAGACAAATCACATCTTCTGGCAAATAAGCCAGAAGTTTATGAGCAAAATATTTGTCTTTTGGGGATCAAGTTTACAGAGGGCAGAGTCTGTCCATCCAAACTCTGCATGGATGCCATTCTAAAGCATTTATCAAGTCTGGACATTTTTGAAAGTTCAGAATTCACATGTGCTTAAGAAAATACCCAAGAGGTTAAAATGTGATGCTCTTATCTCATTGGCAAAGTGCTAGGGTTCCAAGATCTTAGAACCTGGTATTGATTCTGAGAGCCTGGTCCCTCTCCTTTCTTTCTCTCTTTCATGGGAACAGATAGGTGTTTGTGAAATAGTATTTTGTGCTTCACATTTTGTGATTAGACCCTTGTCTTATGCCATTTGACATGCAGTTAGCATGAAAAGTTTGTAATCTCTATTTGTTGTTGTCATTCTGGGGCTTCAATTTGTTTCCAACTTATGACAATCCTAAGGCAAACCTATCACAAGGGTTTCTTGGGAAAGTTTCTTCAGAGGAGGCTTGTAATTGCCTTCCTTCATCAATAGAAGTATAGTGTCTAGATCAAGGGAAGTAATAGTAGTACTTTATGCTGCTTTGATCAGGCCTCACCTGGAATACTGCATCCGATTCTCAGCATCACAATTCAAAAGGATGTTGTCAAGCTGGAGCATGTCTAAAGGAGGGTGACCAAAATAGTGAAGGGTCTGGAAACCATGCCCTATGAAGAGAGACTTAGGGAGCTAGGTATGTTTAGCCTGGAGAAGCGAAGGTTAAGAGGTGATATGATATCCCTGTTTAAGTATTTGAAGGGATGTCATATTGAGGAGGGAGATAGCTTGTTTTCTGCTGCTTCAGAGAACAGGACCCAAAGCAATGAACAGGACCCAAAGCAATGAATGCAAGCTAAAGAGATTCCACCTCAACATTAGGAGGAACTTCCTGACAGTAAGGCTGTTTGACAGTGGAACACAATCCCTCAGAAAGCGGTGGAGTCTCCTTCTTTGGAGGTTTTTAAACAGAGACTGGATGGTAATCTGTCAGGTATGCTTTGATTAAGACTTCCTGTATGGCAGGGGGTTGGACTGAATGGCCTTTGTTATCTCTTCCAACTCTATGATTCTATGATTCCTTTGAAACTGGGAAAGTGTGGCTTGCCAAAGGCCAGAGGATTTCCATGGCTGAGCAAGGATTTGAACTCTGGTATCCCAGAGTCCTAGCTCAGAACGCAAACCGCTGAGCCGCACTGGCTTTCTATTAGTGCACTGCTAAACAAATAGCCTCACTTTTTTATATATATCAGTAGAAGTCTCAGGATACTTTCAGAAGAGGATTTATTGTATCGCCATCCTCCCTTTTTCTCTGAACTTTATAGGGGAGTTACATTATTCTCCATTTGCAATTCATCTCCCTTTTTCTACCTCCTTGTAATCGTTATTCTTAACAAGGAGAAAGCAACAGAATTGTTGCACACTACCTTCTAAGCAGAAGCCTGAGAAGCCCTCCATCTTAAATGCCTTCTATCATGTACTCATGCAAAGTATAATGGCCAAACAATTGATAAAAAAGCTTACTTCACTGTTTATTAAGCACTTTGTAGCAAGTATTTAGACCTATAATAAAATACATGACTTAAAGAGCAAAGAGTTTATTGTCTGAATATGAAAGACTGAAACTTGAGTTGAGCCTTCTTGAAGGTCTTTATCACAAATCTAATCATGGCTGATAAAGATGACAATGTAAGTACAAAGAACCAGTTCACACTGTACTCCTCCTTTCCACATATATGACCAACCCTCACTGGGCATGCTTGTTTTCAGTGATATCACTTTTACATGCAAGAACCAACCATTTCAGTCACTTTCTTGCTCTCCTATGAGAAGATGATGGTTTCTGTCCAGTTTTGGGCATTACTTATCCTTCAGAACTTTCTTAAGGGGAAATTCATTTGTGCAAAAATACACAATTGTTCCTGTACAAAAAAGTGCTTTGGGGCATAAAAGGCCCAGTTTGCACAAAATTAACTGACCCCTGTGTAAAATAAAATAAAATAAATGGGAGCGCTTTTTTTTGCAGAAAATGATGGCTAGCATATGGTTCACCATTTACAAAATCATAACCTGGACTTGTAATTTTGTACAGCTTTGTACAATGATCTTGTAACCTTGGCATTCATATTTATGGTTTTAACAACTAAGGGTAACTCCCTCAATCCCCACCTTTTTAGCCATACAGCACCCCATCTGAAGGGTTTTCAAAGTTCTGCAAATCAGGATGCTGGGAAATGACATCTGCATTGCTTTCCTGGTCATGGGGCACATTGAGAGAAGCAGCTCTGCAGAAATGTGAGGTCTTCCTGCTGCCTGATCTCAACATATCCATTTGATCAGGAAAGCATTGCAGATGATATTTCCCTGGACTTTGATCTTCAGAACCTTGGAAATACTTTAGTTGGGGCACTGCCTGGCTGAAAGGCAGATTTATTTTGAAAGGGATGACATTATCAGACATTATAATGATGATAGAGCTCTGTCATCACAGTTATATCTGATGATGGAGGATGTCAGCATGCTTGTGGTTTTCCTGCTTTATCTATGTACCTATGCAAATTTCATAACAATCTATGCAATTTGCACAATTACATTGGAAAACCGGGGGTGTTATCCCTCATTTTCATGCAATCAGTTGCATTTCCAGGGAGCTACTTGCTTTTAAAAAGAACTGTACACATCTCTTTTTTTGAAAATGGAAAGGGTGTGTTCTGTTGGGGGGGGGCAAATCTTCACTAATTTCATGTTTATGTGCACATCCCCAGATACAAAAAAATTCAAAAGTTTCTTTCCTGCTGAGTTAGATTATGAGAGGTTTTACATATTTTGGGATCAGTTTTTCTTACCTAGAGACTTTTCTTTTTTGGCCACAAAGTAATTTGCAACACTCTTCTTTTATTTTAGTTGCATTGAAAAGTCCAGCTCTTTCATAAACAGAACTGTTGGCTTTTGCACAGAAATCAAGGACTCTTTTTTTGCACCATTTTTAAAATAAAAAAGTTCTGAGTTATGAAAAATTTTCATCAAAGTCAGAAGCTTTCCAACTTTGAAAAGTGGCTTGCTGAGCACTCTTGGGACATGGGCTGCAGCCGAGTTGCATTTGGCTGGTGGAATTGGTAGTGACATGCAATAATTCCGGCCTATATCCTTCCTCCTAGCTGCAACCATTAGGGTGCAGTTGGCTTAAATGTTAGTGCGATAATCTCCTTAGTGTTGTGTGTTGGGGGGGAGACTGTATAGGTCAGAAAACAAGGTTATGAGACCCCTTTCTATTTTCCTAATTAGAGTAAAATGGTCAATAATAATCTTGCAAAAATCTTGAGGAAGTGATAAGAATAATTTGGGCTCAATATTTCCATGGTGAGGGAGTAAAGTGATCTAGAGGTTTGCAGTTTCACTACTATGATCTAGATCACTCTTTCACTGAAGCAGGAAATCCCTTTTAACAGAATTCCTGATAGGTCGCTATCTAGCCTTGGTTTAGAAATCATATAATAATGGAGAGTGCACCATTCCTTCTCCTTATTTCTATCTTACTTTTCTCCCAGTCTGGGACTCAAGGTGACTTACTAAATTTAAAACAGATCAGCTAAATACTACCCTTATAAGGTATTTTTTTCCCAGTGTTGGTTGTTTATCAATTAATCCTTCCTTCTATTTCACTAGGGAGATGTAATCTGATTGGAGAGAGCCAGTGTAGTTTAGTGGTTTGAGTGTTGGACTAGAACTCTCTGGAGACTAGGGTTCAAATCCTCGTTTGGCTATGTAAACCCACTGTTCCCTTGAACAAGTCACATTCTCTGAGCCTCAGAGGATGGCAATGGCGACCCCCTTCTGACGAAACTTGCCAAGAAACCCCCATGGTAGCTTGGTTTTTGTTGTTGTTAACTGCCCTCGAGTCAATCTTGACTCATGGTGGCCCTATGGATGAGACATCTCCAAGACCTTCTGTCCTCCCTTGCTCTGCTTAATTCCTGCAACCCCTTAATACCTGTGACCTCCTTAATAGAATCCATGCATTTAGCATGTGGCCTTCCTCTATTCATACTTCCCTCCACCTTTCCCATTATTGTTTTTTCCAAAGAGTCCTCTCTTCTCATGATGTGTCCAAAGTACAACAGCCTCAGTTTGGTCATCTTGGCTTCCAGGGAGTTTTCTGGCTTGATCTGCTCTAGGACCCACATGTTTGTCCTTTCAGTTGTCCATGGGATCCTCAGCACTCTTCTCCAACACCACATCTCAGAGGAATTGATTTTCTTCGTATCATTTTTCTTAACTGTCCATATTTCACATCCATACATGGTAATAGGCAATACAATGGCTTGTATGATTCTAACTTTTGTGCTGAGTTATATGTCTTTGCATTTTAGAATCTTTTCTAGTTTTCTCATAGCCAGTCTCCCCATTCTTAGTCATCTTCTGATTTCCTGACTGCAGTCCCCATTTCTATCAATGTTTGATCCCAGGTATGGGAATTCTTTTACTATTTCTATGTCTTCATTGTCTAGGTTGAACTTGTGAAGGTTCTTGGTGGTCATTATTTATGTTTTCTTTATGTTCAACATTAAGCTTTCCTTTGCACTTTCTTCTTTGATCTTCCTCAGTAGGTGTTCCAGGTCTGTGAGATTTTCTGCTAGTACTATGGTGTCATCTGCATATCTTAGATTGATATTTCTTCCTCCTATTTTCACTCCTCCTCCTCCTGTGCCCAAGCTTGCTTTTTATATAAAATGTTCTGTATACAAGTTGAACAGATAGGGTGAAAGGATGCAGCCTTGTCTGACTCCTTTGCTAATTGGGAACTATTATGTTTCGCTGTGTTCTGTTCTGACAGTAGCCTCTAGTCCAGATTCCTCATTAGGACTATCAAATGTGTTGGCACTCCCATGTCTTTAAGGGCATTTCATAGCCTTTCATAATCTATGCAGTCAAAGGCTTTGCTACAGTCTATAAAGCACATGCTGATTTTCTTTTGGAATTCCCTGGTGTGCTCCATTAGCCATCGTATGTTTGCAATATGGTCCCTCATGCCTCTTCCTTTCCTGAACCCCACTTGGACCTCTGGGATTTCTCTCTCCATGTATGGTTGGAGTTTATGCTGCAGAATTTTGAGCATGACTTCGCTTGCATGAGAGATCAGTGCTATGGTCCTATAGTTGCTGCAGTCTCTTGTGTCTTCTTTATTGTGGATTGGGATGTATATTGATCTTTTCCAATCTGTTGGCCATTTTTTTGTTTTCCATATCTGTTGACATATGTTGGTTAACACTAGAGTTAATTCTGTCAGTGAGGATTGCAGCAGTTCAATTGGAATATCATCTTGGCTTTAGGGTCGCCATAAGTCAGAAATGACTTGAAGGCACACAGCAACAACAACAACAACAAACTCTGATTGGAAACACATCACAGTTCTATTGCAATGGAAACAATACATTTTATAAAAATCTCCTCTTTGTAATGTTTTGTATCTAGAAGAGAGATACAAAATGTTAAAAAGAGGTGATTTTTATAAAATGTATTGTTTCTAGATGAAATTGCTATCTGACCTTGTTCTCATGTTTCTTCCTTGGGCATGTCATCATCAGATGGTGTAATTCTTTCAGTTGGTCTAAAAAAGACATTAGCCTACTGTGTCTTGGGGACTTTTCTTAAAGCTACATAGTTATCTTTGCTTCTGTTTGCAAATCAAGAAATCTTGCAGTTTATCAACTTTGGACTATCTCATGAGAATTAAGAAGTGGAATTAGAGGAGGATAGTAGCACCTGTGGCCATACTTTATCACACAACATTCTGCCTGTCCAGCAGCTGGTCAGTAGTTGGTCTGTCCATTGTTGGAGTGTACCTTCTCATTGATGGTCAAAGACCATTAATGCCTTTCAACTAGGGTGCTTTTCCACTGTTGTTGCACATGTGATAAATTTCTTCTGAAACAGTTCCAATATGCAGGTAGTCACGTGGTGCGGGTGGGTGTGGTTATACTCCCTCTGTCCTCCCTGCAATTCCCAAGTAGGGTGTTTATCCCCCCCTCCTCCCAAATTTCTTCTCTTTTATTTCACTTATTTATTACTTAATGGATATTGATTGCACTTAATGATTGTACAATTGTGTTAAAAATAAAAATAAATACAGACCAAAAGGCATGCTGGGAAGAGGTTAGAACAAGGAGGCAGGGCTATGGAGGCTGGTGTGCAAAAAACAGAGGCCAAGAAAGAAGCACCATGGGAATTTGGAAGAGCTATGCAATAACTTTCCCCAACGTGGTATGTTTGCATTTTCTAGAGTAACATTGTGGCACCTTACAAGTGTAGTGTAATAAACTCCTTTGAGTCAGGGAGACTAACTTCTTTTTTAATCTGCCAAGAAAACCATCCCCTCTCGACCTCCACAAGTCAGTCCATGAGTGTGTGAGAGTGACAACCGAGAAGTTAGCTTTAGTTATCAGCATTTTCAGCCTATATTGGACTAAGTAATTGTCATGTTTAGATGCTGACAGGTTCAAATAATGTATTTGAGAGTGAGGGTGCCTCTGCAGAGATGAAAATGGAGCCCAAGAGGGCTGGAAACTGTTACTAGCAGTGACAAGTTGTGTAAGCTAGATGTATGGGTAAATTGCTATTGGTCCCAAGGTTATTCTTATTAGCAGAAGACATATAAGAAACCCTAACAAACCATTAATAGAACAGTGTTAGTAGAATAAACTTGTCTACTCTGTCCAAAGCTCAGGACTAATGGTGCATCCTGAGCTTTTCCTAATGCTCACTTGACAGATGTTTATATAAAATGAAGGCTTCACAAGGCAGCAAGGAATGAGCCCAGCAGCAATGAAGATTTAAACACTCATTTTGAAAAATAAATAAATATTAAAGCATCTGCTCTGGGTGAGTTTGAATTTTAAATTAATCATGTCTGATCCTCTCCACAAAAGCATCTTGCAAAGAAGATCTGTGTAGGCTATTGTTCTCCTGTGTCAATATTTTGAATGAGGATTCATAGCAATGTGAAGCTTTGTATTTCCTCTAGGTTTTGATTTTCTCTTTTTAGTTTACTCACAGCAAGGATGTGCACATCTATTAAGTATGTATCTCTAGATGTCTACTTTTCTGTGTCCAGTCTGTACCTGCATCTATTTAGTTGCTGTTGGACTCAAATTGTGCCAAGGTGAGCACCACACATGTAGACTCACCTGTTAATGAGATATCTCATTATGTATATGCAAATATTTCAAAATCCAAAACAAAACAAAACACCAAAACACTTCTGGTCCCAAGTATTTCCGATAAGGGAGACTCAACCTGTATTTTTGTTTGGTCTGGTTGTGGAAGTCCCACCTCCAGGACCAAGATGAAATGTTTATTGGTCCACAGCCTCCAAGAGTTCTGCACATCTGTTGGCAGCAGAACCATATGACCATGTGACAAGTAAATAGTTATCTTACCCCCTTCTGTTCTTGTGTGGTTGCAAAAGGGCCCCTGGACAGTGAGCCTCTGTGCATGTCTGTCATAACTCACTCCCTGGATGACTCTGACAAAAAGCAGGAAGATGCCATAATTCATTCCCTGAACCACCCAGTTGAGGAGGGTGAAAAGGCAGACTGTCAGGAATTTATAATGCTTTTCAGGAGCTGGCAGAGGCCACAAAGATAGCACACCTCCATCCTTCAGTGAACATAGAAGGGAGAAGCACCACGCCCTGCTCAGATTAACAAATGCTGAACTAATTTGGCACTTAGGAGGCACAAGTTACCTTGAACTACCCATAAGTATCTCAGCCATTCTCTTCCAACCTTAGTTCTGACAACTGGTTCATCTGCTGGCAGTACTCACTTGTGTTCCTGTCTTGCCTTGACTTATGACTGACTACATTTGGACTACTCTGTTTACTCACTGCTGACTTGTGTACTTTGACTTCTGGACCAGCTAGCACAACCCTTGCATCCCGATCAGACAGTCTGTGAAAGACCTGAATTGGACTGACCATTCAACATTGCCTACTTGCTTCCTTGAGCACTTATTGACTTGTGTTCAGGACAATGTCAGAGTAATGTTGACAATGACTTGCTAGATTACTGCACTACACTCTTATAGTGCTGCTATTCCACTTTAACTGCTCTGGCTGCCTTCTGTTGAATTCTGGGATTTGCAGTTTAGGGAGGGGTCTCTAGAATTTTCAGCCAGAGAACTCTTAGGCCTCACTAAACTACAAACCCCAAAATTCATCAGGAGGCAACCAGATCAGTAAAAGTGGTATATAGCAGCACTATACGATGGTAGTGCTGTAATGTGGTTGGAGACTGGTCACTAGCCAGGTAGGGATGGGGAGAGAATCCTTGTATTCATGATTCATGAGGACACTTAGGAGTCTATGGAGAATGTTGCATTAGATTATGGGGGGGGGGGGGTCCTAGGTCTGGCTGATCCCAATAGCTACACAAGTGGTGTTTATGAACAGGTCATAACAATCTGATAAGAATGCAGGGAACTCTAATATGTAGAGAGAGTATGTTACAAAATAGTTCTCTATACAGTCAGCCCTCCATTGTCATGGACTTGAAATCTGTGGTTTTGTCTGTTCATGCAGGAGTGACCTCCGTTAACATCAATGTGGCACAACCTTGTGTGCACCCGCAGGGGCCCACCCCATTCAAGCCTATGGGGTTTGAATATTTGTGAATCTGTTTCTGTGGGGGTGGGTGGTTCCAAAATAGATCCCTCACAAAAACGGAGGGCTGACTGTATATAAAAATCATCTTTATGGAGTAGAAT